GCTAGCGGCCAATCCATCTGGATATGTGCTGCCCGCGCGCCGCCCTCGACATCTGGATCCGCGCGTCGCGCCGGCGACCCCGCTCGCGTCTCTCGCGGAGCAGGGGCTCGATCCCGCGAAGCTGACCTCGGCGGCCCATCGACGGGCCCGCCGCGGCGCCTCAATGCCCTTTCGATCGACGAAGGGGCGAGAACAGGCGCCCCGCCAGGACGAACGCCTCGCGGGCGGAAGCGCTCTCGGCTGCGCGGCGCGCCACCGCGCAGCACCCCGCTCACCGCCGGCGCAGGCCTGGGCCCCGGCTGACATCGCTTTCCCACTGAGCTCCCGGGCCCGCGCTGGCCTAGCGAGGGGCCGCGCGCGGGCGGCGCGCTCGCATTCCACCCGCTCGCGCGCGCCTCCGCCCCGCGGAGCCGACGCTCAGGCCCGCGCCGTGCGCCGCGACGATCGGCCCTGCGGATGTCCCATGCGAGCCCCAGCTCGCGGCTTTCCACGCGACCGCTGAGTTCATCCGAGACGTGAGCGAACACGTCTGTGCACTTGGTTGGCCTGTCTGGCTCCGGCCCATGGGGGCCTCTACCGCATGGGGGACACGGCGGCGCCCACCTCCCGTGGAGCATTGTCTTCCTCGGGCAGCGCAGCGCCAGCCCCGCCCGCGAAGCGCCCTGTGGCTGGGCCCTCGCGACCGCCCCTGACGGCGCCGGCGGGCGCCGCGCCGCGCGGGCGGCATCCTATTGCCAATCGCGGGGCGACGGGCGGTCGCGGAGGCCGGTGCTCCACCCTGCTAACAACGCGCCCCGTGCTTGGATCTCCCGCCTCGCTAGCGTCGCCTGCCCAGCGGCGGGCGCCATGCTAACCGCGGGAGAAAGCTGGGAGATGATGTTTCCCCCGTGGACGCGCAGAATCCCAGAGGGCTCGCACCCCCCCGGGCGACGTTGGATCTGCGACCTACAGGGCTGCGACCACCAGTGCCGCGGGCACTGCATGCAACGACGCCTGGACATGGGAGAAACCGACGACCCGCCAACTTGCGCCGCCTGCGGTTCTTACCGCCATATGAAACCATTGGAAATTCGAGTCGGGCCTGCCCAGGGGGTCTGCGGTTGATGGGGTCTGAATGGTTGGACCGTGAGATTTCGGAGTTGCCCCCTTGGCCGACCGCCAGACAGTGCGAGAGTTCTGGGGCGCGGGTTGGATGGGCCGCGTCTCGGCGCGAGAAACCGGTGATCGTCTTTGGTTCCCCCTGACTCGATCATCGATTGTTCTATTCTTCAGACGAGTACAAACAGACGGTGCATCAGTTCCACAAGTTTAAAACGAGGAGGGAACTATGAAGGAGGAGGAAAAGGGGAAAGAGGAGGGAGGAGGGAGGAGGGAGCGAGGATAGACAGAAAGGGAAAGGAGGGAGGAGGAAGGGAGGGAGGAGGGAAGAGGAGAGGGGGGGGAGGCAAGCTAGGTGCGCTCGCGTCATATCTGACGTCCTACCCCTACCTCCCATCCCTTACCATGGCGCTGATTTTCTCTATCCGCGGACGCGTGTCGCAGCGGACCTGTGGCTCCGCGCGCGCGTGCGTAGTGGGTGGTGGTGCACGTGCGTGCTGCGTGCGTGCGTGGTTGTTGGTGGTGGTGGTGGTGGTGGTGGTGGTGGTGGTGGTGGTGGTGGTGGTGTGGGTGGTGGTGGTGGTGGTGGGTGGGTGGGTGCTGGTGGTGGTGCTGGTGGTGGTGCTGGTGGTGCTGGTGCTGGTGGTGGTGGTGGTGGTGGTGGTGGTGGTGGTGGTGGTGGTGGTGGTGGTGGTGGCGGTGCGGCGCGGTGGTGGCGGGCGGATGGGCGCGCGAGAAAAAGGCCCGCGCTGGGGCGAGAACGCCATCCTGAACGACGGAGGCCAAACACCGATCCGAAAATGAGGCCCACGCTGCAGCGGGAGCACGATTCGGAACGATTCGGGAGCAGAAATGAGGCCGGCGCCTCAACGAGAGCAGCATTTTGGGAAAAAATGACGCCGGCGCCTCAGCGAGAGTCGTTTCCCGGGATTTCCCGGGAATCCTGTGTGTAAAAAAAACAGTACGCGGAGGGTGCGCGGCCATCACCCGGACGCCATCAGGGGAAGAGGGAGAGTATTGCGAAGGCCTTACGGCCGTTGCCGCCGACCCTGAAGACGACGAAAGACAACACGAGGGGGGGGGCACGAGGAGGAGGAGGAGGAGGAGGCGGAAGGGAGTAGGAGGAGGAAGGGTGAAGGGGGAGGAGGAGGAGGCCTTATGGATGTTGGTTGGGATCTCGTGGTTGACCTCTCGGGGGCGTCTGGAAGGCAACTTGAAGCCTCTTGGGGGCCGTTGTGGGGCCTCTTGGGGCCTCTTTTGGGCCTCTTGGGGCTTCCGGAGGCCGTCTTCGGCGCATCTTGGGGGCGTCTTGGCGCCGCTCGGGGGCCTCTTGGGGCCTTTTGGGGGCCTCTTGGGGCTTCCCGGGGGCCTCTTAGGGCGGAAGTCTCGAATTCTCGGTTCCTCGTCCCCCTCTTGGCCGTTTCTTGGGCCCGTCTTGGGGCCCTATTGGGCCGTCTTGGGCGCCTCTTAGGCTGTCCTGGGGCCTTCTTGGGCCGTCTTGGGGCCCTCTTGTAGGCCTCTTGGGGCGCTCTTGGGGGCCTCTTGGGGGCCTCTTGGGCCGTCTTGGAGTGTCGGAAGAGGGAGAGTATTTTTATATTGAGTAATTGTAGAGAGGGATGATGGGGAGAAGGGGAGGTGGGGAAGCGCAGGGAGGGCGAGGAGGCAGCCGATCTGCCCCGCCCCTATCCAGGTAGCTCGGACCGTCCGTCAGAGATCCCAGGTTGCCCCCCTGTCCAGGAGCCACCCACCGTCCGCGCAGCTACAAGCGCCAACAAGTACATTCGACAAAGTGAGGGAAGTGACGAAAATTCGTTTTTGAAAAAGGAGCAGCCCTCTACCATTGTAGCAGTTGTACATTTCGACGCGTCTGGCCGTTTCCAGTTGAGCAACCAGTTAGGTATACTGCAACAGCAAACAGTGATATCCCCCCTTCTCTCTCCCTCCTGCCTCCTCCCTCTCATCCGCCCAATCCGTAACCACGTGGGCTCAATGTACCTTCGGGCCGATCGCCACCATGGCATGGCCGATGAATCTGAGGAGGACTTCCTCGGCAGCAGCTGTGCGAGCAGGGGGATTTCCTCGGCGGCAGCGGCGGCGATGGGCCACCTCAGAAGGCCGCGTGAGCGACGAGGACTTCCTCGGCGGCAGCTCCTCCGAGCTGCCCGTCGCGACGGCGGCTGCGGAGGCGGCGGGCGCAGCGGGCGGCCGCCCTGCCCTCGGCCTCGGCCCGCTGGCGCGGAGCGCTGCGGACGCCCGCGCGCCTCCTGCTGCGGCGAAGCGCGGCCGCACAATACTGCCAGCCGCCGCCCGAGCAGCCGTGCGCGCGCTCGAGCCGACTCCCGAGGTGGCGTTTGAGTCGGCCGTGCCTTGCGCCGCCTCGCTCTGGCTGGACGATGCGACCCGACCGTCGGCGCTGTCATCGGCAGAGAAGCTTTGCCAGGTGCGCGGCCTGGCCAAGAGCACCTGTCGCGACGCGGCTGATGCCATCGCTCGCGCCGCCTGCCAGGCGACGAGGAATTCGGTGGATCGCTTCGCGCAGTCTATACTGGGGATCTGCAGGCGGCCAAGGCGGATCTCGGCGTCAGCCTCTCATTCATTTTCGGCTTCGTTGCTGCGACGGCACCGAGCAGCGCGCGAGAGTGCATTTCACCGAGGCCACGCAGGGCGGAGTTCGAGCCACAGCCACCGATGCTGTTGCTGGCAAGTTCGAGGTCGACACCTCGTTTGCGAGTCGGGCCTTCTGCTTGATGAAAGGCCCGCCTTCGGCGTCGAAGCTGCTCATTCTGCAGGTCCGAGAGCCGGCGGTGTTGTGCGCGACGGATGGGGCGGCGGCGGAGTCGGTCCATGCGGCGCTGGCCCACATCAGGTCGGATGCCGATGGCGAGCTGGACGCGCTGTTCCCCAGGGGCGTCGACATTGTCATAAGCGACGAGCATGGGGCCAATATCAAGTACGAGAATGCTCGTTCTTCTGTTGCGCTGCGCCCGCCACCCTTGTTGCACCTCTTTTGTGACGTGCATAAGAAGCGCAAAGTCGCCGCGCTTGGCCATGCGATCCAGAAGCCAGCTGACACGATGATTGTTCTTCTGCAGCTTGCAATGCAAGGACAGGCGCTCCGCCTCGCGTAGTCGATGAGGGCCATGATTGCCGAGCGGCTCGTCATCACCGATGGCGGTGAGCTTGGTGCGACTGCCGCCCAGCACCGCCCGCCCCATGCTCCGCGTCCTGCCACGGGCCGAGCCGCAGAGCTCCAGGCGTCTCTCGACCGCCTGGGCCTCCAGCACGCTGCGCTCTCGCGCCGGGTCCGCTCCTCGCCCCCCTCCGACCCTCGCCTTCGCCCGGCAGGGCGTCACCCGCCCCGGCGCCGCATGACCCTCTCAGTGCCCTGCTATGCCCGCCTAGGGCTTCGTGCACGGCCGTCGGCCCCACTTCTTACCAGCCCGATAGCCCGCGTGGCCACGCGTCGTCGAGGTCCGGTGGCGGCGGTGGGGGGCGCCCCTTCGTTCGCTAGCCGCTCAGCGGTCAAGCCTTTGTCCCCCGGCTGCCGGCCAGGGCTTCGCCGAGCGGGGCCCTTTTCTACCCGCGGGGCGCAGAGAGACGTGGCGCATTGCCTGCTCACCACCCCGCCCCTTCACCTCAATCGCTTAGCGCCGGGGGGGGGGGTTGTTTCAACATCCCTTGTTCCCCAAGGTGCACACCACCGCCAACGCGATGGCGGCCTTGGCTACCGCAGTTGCCGGCTGTCGAATGGACTCCCGTTTACTTGTCCGATCTCTCTTTCTTTCTCTCTCTCTCTTTGTGTCTTTCTCCCTCCTCTTCCTCCCTCCTCCCTCCCTCCCTCCCTCCTCCGTCCCCCCCTCCCCCCTCCCCCCTCCCTGCCCCCTCCCTCCTGCCCCCCGGAGGAATCCAGGGCGGGGCGCGGAGGCGACCCGCATCTTCCAGTGGATCCAGAATCGGCGCAAAGAGCTGTTCGGCATCTGACCGGGCGCGCGCGGCCGCAGGGCACGGCCCGCTCGGGGGCAACGAGAGGGAGGGGGGGGGATGGGCACAGGGGAGGACGCATCGACTTCCAATCGCCCACTGATCGCCGATAAAGGTCTGACAGCCCCAGCCCGCCCAGGAGCTCGCGGGTTCGCTCTTGGAGGCCCATCGCCGATCTATCGGCGATGTATCGCCGATACCAGGTCGATATCCCCCCCCCCTTTTGTGCCCCAGTCCCCCCCCCGTCGTTGCCCCTCAGGGGCACGGTCCGCGCTTCGCACCTGCTCCTCTCTTTTTGCTCCTGTCCGAGCGGCGCGGGCCTGTACGACACCGGCGGCACATTTAGGCCATCGTTTCGCTCACTCCGCCGGCCCATGCCGCGTCATCGGTGGCGCCTGCTTGTGTGCTCACGTGGGGTGACAGGATAGTGGGTGGCGGTCGTTTCCTCGAGCTGCCCGTGAACCTCGCCTGGGAGGGAAACGTTGGCAGGATAGTTGCATGGCGCTTCTCAATGGATGTCAGTGGACCAGGCCTCCACCGAAGCTCCGTCCGTCGGTGCGTCCCGCCACCGTACGTGGGTCGTGGTTCAGCGGCGTGTTAGGTGCTTGTCGGGTTATATTTGCATGCCTTTGGGGGACCCTTGGAGGCTTATTAAGGGGGCCTCTAGAGAGTTCCTTGTGGCCTCTCAGGGGCCTCTAGAAGGCTTTTTGAGGGTATATCGGGGCCTCTTGGGGCCGCTTGGGCGTTTATCGGGGGCGTTTGGGAGCTTGTTGGCGCTCTCTGAGGCCATCTTGGTGTCGTCTTGGGCCATCGTGTGTGGGGGTTCTTGTCCGGTCTTTGGAGCGATTTCGGGGGACTCGTGGGCCGTATTGGGCCGTTGGAAGCCCAGCAAAACGAGAACGATTAAATGTTTCAACGACCTATGGGAAATCACTGTTTCTTACGTCTTGAGGCCGTCTTGGAACACTATTTGGCCGTCTTGCCTCGTAGGCTGTAGCGGGAGTCTGGAAGCCCGCACCAAGGACCTTTGGCATCTCTGCCGGGACCGTGCCAGTACACTGTTCTTCCAGTGACCCCCCAGGCCGCCACGCGTGGGCGATTTGGTAATGTGAAATTTTCCATAATTTTTGGCCGGACGTTCTTGAGGGCTCCCCCGTGCGCAATTTGTTTCGCTGTGGCCCAGCGCTTGCTATGAGCAGAAGCGGATTAGCCAGCTCAGTGGGGTCCTTGCTGCACCTTGCTCCGGTGGTTTCGACGGGCACTGGGTCAGGGATAGCTCCGCACTGGCACTCACGATCTGGAGGGCGACGATGACGACGAGAACACGAGCACAGAGGGGGGAACGAACGACAAGACGACAGGGGCGACGACGACAGACGCGACAGGCGACAGGAACGAACGAACTGGAGGTTCTAGCAAGCCTTTGGCTCGCTTGGCCAGCGAATTCCGATATGCTCTCTGGTCCCTCCTGAGGAGGTACTCTAAGTCGGAGAGCTCGGCTCGCGGCCCCCGATGCTGATCTTGTAGTGCCTAGGGAGCCTGCGCCTGCGACCTGGCAATATAACGCAGAACATCGTTTGGCGTAGTCGCCAGACGGCCGTGCATGATGAGACTGGTCGTACGCACGAGAGCACAGAAAGTGTGGCGGAGGAGGCGGGATACGTACGAGGGGAGCGGAGATAAGGTGTACAGCGTGGGGGAGGAGGAGCAGGTGGAGGAGGATGAGGAGGAGCAGGAGGAGGAGGAGGAGGAGGAGGAGGAGGGGGAGTATGCGCATGAAGTTGGCAACCTCGCGTCCTCGGGTCTCCAAAGATGCCCCGGAGGCATCTGAAGGCCCCCAGAGGCCCGAGAACGTTTGCATCACATACACCTTTGATGTTTCGTTGCCCCCGAAGGGGCAACATTTTGCAGGCGGCAGCGTGCCACACGAGGGCAGCTTTTGGTTGCAAGCTTTCTGGTTAAATCCAGCATCCCGCGCTGGCGCATCCGTGGCGTCCAATCCTGACGAATCCCGCCCAATCGAGCCCAGTCCCAGGCTCGCTTCTTGGCCTGGTCCGACTTCCTCCGGCAAGCGCCGCCTCGGCGCCTGCTGTCCCCCCGTGACTCGCCGCGCACGTGGGCGTGCCAGCCTCAACAGGCGCGCGTCGCCGCGTGTGCCACCTCTGCGAGGCCGAGGAAGGGGCCAGGGGGGGTGCTTTGACACCCGCGGCCAAACACTGCACCCAGATGGGGCAAAAAGTTGGCAGGTCGGATTTAGTTCCTGATCGCTGTTCGGCGGCGAACGAGGGCGGAAGTGAGAAGGAGAAGGCCTTCCATCTGGCTGCGGGGCCTCTCAGAAGCCCTCGCGCCTTTTGAACAGTTCTTCGCGTCTTCAGGGAAGGATCAGAACACTTCTCAGAAGGCCGGAGGGCTCCCGAGCCTTCTGAGAAGACCCGCCCCTTCTCACCTCCCCCTTGGGGCTCGCCGCCGACGGTCGCTCTGGATGGGGTCCTCTGGCGAGCTGTCGCCAAGTGTTGCCCGTGTATGTCCATGTGTGTCCACCTAGCCCACAGAGCGGCGAACGTGTCCGAGAGCCCCAGTCCTCGAACCTCGACCCTCGATCCGCCCCAGTCCCCTCCAGCTCTTCCCTCCTCCTCGTCCCCCTCCTCCCTCTCCCTCCTCTCTCCTCTCTCCTCTCGCGAATCGAGGGGCCGTGTTCATGTACATAGCTGGGCGCGTACGTCCTTTGTGGGCTCCCTACATGTGTGTCCACCTGCTCCGCCTGCCGCCCGCGAAGGCCAGGTCGCGCTGCCCCTCCGCGCCGCCCGACGGGGACGACGGGGAGGACATGGTCATCGACCCGCTGCCGCTCAGCGCCTCCGTGCCCTTTCGCGCTGGACGCCCTCGACCTCCTCCAGTCCCTCCTCCTCCTCCTCCTCCTCCTTTTCCTCCTCCTTTTCCTCCTCCTCCTCCTCCTCCTGCCTCCTCCTCCTCCTCCTCTCTTCCTCCTCCTCCTCCTCTTCCTCCTCCTTTTCCTCCTCCTCCTCCTACTCCTCCTCCTCCTCCTCCTCCTCCTCCTCCTCCTCCTCCGCCTGCTCTCAAGCGCAAGCGGTTCAAGCTGGGCCCCGGCCATCTCTTTTGGCTCTAACAGGCCTTGCAATCGCGCCCTGCACCTCCACGTCGGTGCTTGGATGACGTCGAGGCGACCACGATTTTCGGTCGGCGAGGCTCACTTGCTGGGAGGAGGTGCCAGTATTCGTTTGACAGATCGCACTTAACGGAGACAGGCACGTTCCTACTCAGTTTTGCATGGCCTCACAGCTGTCGGATCGTTTTTGCCAACGGCAAAGCAGGGCGAAATAATTGTTAATGATACCGGAGAAAAGCCCCAATCAGGGCTATAAGGCTAGGGGGCTATAGGGCCATAGGGCTATTGAGCTATAGGGCTATAGATTTATAGGGCTATAGAGTTGTAGGGTTATTGGGCTCTTGGGATATTGGGCTATAGGGCAATAGGGCTTAGGGCTATAGGGCTATAGGGCACCCCTGGGCATGCCCGGGCACCCCCGGGCACGCCCCGGCACACGGGCACCCGGGCACCCGGGTGCAGGCACCCCGGCACTCCCGGGCACCCGGGCACCCCCCGGGCGCCCGGGCCCCGGGCACCCCTGGGCACCAAGGCGTGCAACGAAAATCGGCGACAAACCGAACCTAACCATATGGGTCTTCTAGGACCCCTACAGAGGCAAGCTCCAATATTGGGGAACAATTTACAGGATTTACACAGCTTCACATTGTATTGTGCCCACTTGACATACACCGGGTTTTACCCACAGGGTCTTGCGGTTTTTGCCGGTGCCTTCTATACTTCCACACGCTATGATATGTTGTAAACGTTATGTTGAAAGCTCTGGCGATCGGCAAGTAACCGCTCTGTGTCTTTCAAGTGCTTTGTCGTTCGCCTTTGGGATAAAGCTGGTCCTCGTCAGTCACTTGTGTTGGCGTGTGCTGCGCATTCAAAGTTTCGCTTTTGGGTGTGGGAGTAGGATGTGCTCCCCTGCTTGGAAGCGTGCTTCGTGGGCAGCTGTCATCATGCGTGGCGTGCATTATTGTGCCACGTGCGCGCGGGAGCAGGCACCGATGGGTACTCGTGCATCACGCGCGCCATAGCTACTTCGTTTGGAACTCGTGCCGTGGTGAGTGCCACGCTTTCAGGGGTGCCCCTGGAGGTTTTTGGTGCGTGGGTTTTGCCTTGCGGCCGCCGCGGCCGCGATGGCTGGACCCTCGGCGGGTGCTTAGCTCGGGTCGACTTCGACACGGACTACTTTGCTGACGTTCAGTGGAGCGCCAGAGACGTGATCGAGTTCGTCGCTTCCGATTTCGACCACCAAAGCAGGGGAAGGCGGTCATGGTGGTCCTTGGGAAGGGCCCCGTCGACCGCGTCTACGACGGCGACGTCGTCGGGGCCCAGGGCGATTGTTTGTCGCGGCGGCTCCTTGAGTCGAGCGAGGGCGCGAACCCAGGGCGGTACCTCCCCGCCCGCGACGGCGGAGCCCAGGGCAAGGAGGACGGGGGCTCGTACGTGAACGCCGTCCCGAAGTGGCGCGCGTTGTCATCCAGAGCCACCCCAGATTGGGGCCGCGTTGGGCGGGCCCGCCGCGGCCTCGGGCAGGTCTTCGAGGGGCGGCTCGCCGACGCTCTCGCGAGCATAGGGGACCCTGGCCGCAGGGGCAGTGGCCGCTGGGGGCCCTCTGCCGGAGGAGGCGAACGCGACGGCGCATGTCGCCCTCAACTCCTTGGTGGCGATCGCGAGGGCTACCTGACCCCCAACCTTGGGCGGAAGGGGGTTACGCGAGGACCTCGCTGACCTGCGTCGGAGCGTCGAGCGCGGCTGGCACCGAGATCGGAGGCGCGGGCGCGAGCCTGGCGGCCCCGACGGTGCCACTGCGGGGCCACCTGCTGGACGGGCGCGTTCCGAGCCGGCGGGGGCGCCAGGCGCGGTGCCCAGAAGCGCCCCGGTCTGGCGGAGTCGGAGCCGCGGTCGCGAGCGCGGCCAGGACCAGTCGGCTCGTCGGTCCCCTTGGAGATCGCCGCAGGGATCGCCTCGGAGGTATCCCGAAGAGTGCCTCGAGGACAGATTAGTTCGGAGGTCGCCCCGGAGGTCGCCTCCTCCTGCGCGGAGGGACCCGCGTGACGAGCGCAGGCCTTCCCGCCAGCAGCGGCGCGTCGCCGCGGCCCAGTCGCGTTCTCGGCGTCGCCCACCACCCGGCGCAGCGTTTCGTCCCCCCCCACAGGGAGCTCCACCCAAGGTCTCCGCGGCAGAACTCGCATGGCGGCCCAGCGGCGGAGTTCGCATGGCGGCGATTTTCGATGTTCGGAAGTTTTTCGTCGTATTCGATGTATTGAAGCCGCTTTTTCGGGCCGCGCATCCCGGGCGGGGGCCAGCCTGCTCGCTCTCTCTGCTCCGCGCGGCGGACGACCCGCGCGCGTCGCCGGGACCCCTTCGGGGCGACCAGCGCGCGTCGCGGGGATTCCGCGCGGCGCGGCGCCCGCGGCCTTGGGCGCGGGCGCGCACGGGCCAAGTGGGCGAGGAAGAACGGGAAGGAAGCGCGCTGACATGGGCGTCGACACTCGCGCGCGCGCAGACTCATCCACAATCAGACTCGCTCGCTCTTAGTCTCTCGCACACAGGCCCATCGTCTTCGCTCGCGTTGCGCGCCCCGCCACGCACGTCGGCGCGCCCCTCGCGCGGTTCGTGGCCCCATAGGGAGCGCGGGCGTAGATGGTATTCATATCGCGACGTTCGCAATTGCACATGGTTGGGTCCTTCGCCAGGCTATTGTTTTTCTGCCTTCGTTCGGCTCTCTTCCTTGCTCCGCCTGGTGAGCTCCTGTTCGCGCTGCGCGGGTCTTGCCTCGGTGCTCGCAGGAAAGGGCGTCTTTGCGCGCGGCGAATGCATGCGCGGCGAGGTCTCGGGCGTCGCCACTGCCGAGAGGAAAAAAGCGTCGAGGCCCAGCGGGCTCGCGAAGAAGCTAGGCGACGACGTCGAGGAGCAGGGCGCAGACTCGGAGAAGGCGCCGCGGGAGGCTCGCCGATGTCTTCTGCAGAACTCGCAGGACATGAACATCACGGCATCGCACTGGGGCGGTGACGACCAGGTCGTGAAGGACAAGGTTAGTCAGCGTCACAAAGACGGCAAGGCCGCGATTCAGACGGCGGGGGCCCTCGCTCGACAGCCGCACTTGGAGACGGCCACCTCCATGGCAGAGAAATCGAGCAAGGAGATCAGCGAGCGCTCATCCACGGAGCAGTGACAGGAGGCCGCGAAGACATAGACCACGACCGACCAGGCCAATAAATAAATCCCCAAGGCCTTCACGGCGGCGCCCGTGCCGGCGTGGAAGAGCATCGCCGACGTCATCCACAATGCGGTTGACGCTGCGCAGATAAAGACGAAGGATTTCGACCTAGCGCCGATCGGCGACGAGATCAAGAGTTTCACCCTTGCGAAGGGTCGGGCCCGAGCTTCCTTCATCGCGCACTCGCTCATGGCGAACGCGACCGACCCGGGCCTCCTGCGCAACCTGATGGGGATGCGGAAGAAGACGCGCGAGATTCAGACGACGCTGCGCGAGTGGGGGGCCACGCCAGACCAGATCTAGAACAATGCGTTGATCGAGAGCTACACGAACGAGGTCAAGGTGAAGCCTACGTATAGGCATGTGGGCCTGCAGCTTCGTGGCTTCGTGGGCATGCAGCTTCGTGGACCTGCGGATTCGCGGGCGCTTCCTGGGCCTGCAGTTTCGCGGGAGCTGCAGCTGCGTTGCCGCTGCAGCCTCGCGGGCCCGCAGCTTCGCGGCCTGTCCTACGGGAGTGGCCCCGAGAAGAGGGGGCGGGACGATGAGTGGGGTTGCAGTTAGAAAGAAGGGAAGGGCAATAAGGACGAGGGACGAGGACACCATTCTCTCGTGGCAGGCAGGCCCCATTCAAGCACTCGGAGCTCGAAGGAGTTCCACGCGCGCGGGTTTTAGCCGCCGCCTCGGCCAGAGACTGTGACGACGGGCAGTTATTGTCCAACCGCTTGTGGAGATAGCGCGGCGGTCGCAGCGCGAGGGGGGCAGAAGTAAAATCCGAGACGCGCAAGGCGCCCCAGATGCCGAGCTAAGCCCCGGAAGGCACTGCTACGAGACCCACGCAGCTCTTCCCAGAGACTTCAGGGGGCCTCATAGAGCAAGAGGGCTCCAACGAGCCCCTCCCTCAAGACAGCCCCAATGGGCCTTCGCACGTATGCCGACAATAAGAAGGGGCGCCAACGCGCCCCATAAGAGCACGCCCCTAAGCTACCACCAAGGAGTCCATAGGTAAACTCCCTAAGGTAGCCCCCCCCGGAGGCCCGCGCGCCTGCGTCTACTACTACTACTACTACTACTACTACTACTACTACTACGACTACTACGACTACTACTACTACTACTACTACTACTACTACTACTACTACTACTACTACTGCTACTACTACCATTATTTCTATTACTACTACTACTACGACTACTACTACTACTACTACTACTACGACTACGACTACGACTACGACTACGACTACTACTACTACTACTACTACTACTACTACGACTACTACTAGTACTACGACTACTACTACTACTACTACTACTACTACTACTGCTACTACTACTACTACTACTACGACTACTACTACTACGACTACTACTACTACTATTACTACTACTACTACTACTACTACTACTACTACTACTACTGCTACGCTTACGACTACTACGACTACAATAACTACTACTACTACCACTACCACTACTACTACTACTACTACTACTACTACTACTACATCCCAAGATTCCACTCATCGAGGTCTAACCCAGATGCCTCTGTCGTAGTATATGTCGCACGCGGTCGAGAAAGGTAGTTGCTCATTCTTTGGGTGGGCGGGCTGGCGCAAGCCCGTGCAAGGAACGATCTTGCGCCGACATCGCCAACGGGAACCTGTCAACTGCGACCTCGGACTCGCTCAACTGGCACGCCGAATTCATTGCGCTTGAACCCTGCCTTTTTCATGATCGCAAGACACGCGCTGCGCGACTGCCTCTTCCAACGCGCTCGCGAAGCGCTTCAAATGTTACCCGGGACTTCGAGGGGCGCTCCAAAGTCGCCTTGGGGGTGGGCGCGCTTGAACTTCCAATCCGCCCGCCCCCCCATCCCGCGGCCCCCTCTGGGGCCCCGCTGCGTTGCGCTTGGGCAGCGCCTGGGGCGGTTGAGGCAGCGGGTGGGCCCGCTTGATGCGCATTGGGATATTCTTGCAAACGCGTTGGGCCGTCTTGTGTTTCCTTTTGGCGCAGAGGGGCGTCTCGGGCCGCCTCGCAGCGCCAAAAAGTGAAGCTGCGATATAGCTCAGCCAAGGCACCCTGCGCATCTAGCCCCAAACCAGGCACCATAACATCTGGCCCATGCACGTTTGGGGGAATCCATGGAACCAGGCACCCAAAACATCTAGCCCCAGCCTCCTTCATGATTTGTGCTTGTGCATCGCGAGATATGATGCTGTGCGTTGACAGCCGCTGTGTAGGTTTGCACGTTGCCTTCGCGGTGCATATGCAGCACCCAAGTAGCGAGGATCTGCGCACGGGCAGTTCGACTTGAACATTGCAGCGCGTGTAACTCACGCGTCCACATGGAGAAATCAGTAATGGCCGCATATGGCTTAGCACTATGTGCATGGCATGTCTGAACTATTCTAACATAGCGTTAACGAAATGCAGGAACACATTTTCTATATATGATTTTAATTGTCTTCCTGCATTCACAAGTTCCTAGTGGTGCGCTGTCATTGCATGTCTCGTGGCTGACGCAGCAGGGGCCGAGCCCGCTTCGCCTTGAAATCGGCGGCGAGCTGGCAGCCGTGCGCGGTGCAGAACAGCTGTAGAACATCGCCAGGCACGCGACCAGCCAATCCCAGGCAGGCGATGACATCCTCGCGGGCGCCCACGGCCATGACCACCCCGGCTTGCGCAAGGCAATGGCATCAGCCACCCCGCGCTCTTACTGAGAGAGGCAGAGGTCAGTGGCCAGACGGCGGGTGGCAACTGCTGTCGGCAGCTCGCTGATCTGCATTGGCTGGCAGACCTTCGGAACTCGCTAGACCGTGTTAGTATCTACGCCGTCGGAGGAAAGAGTGCAGCGCAGAGACGGAGGCGCCGCGTCGCAGCGGGTCGAGGAGGCGAAGCAGCCTTTCAGGGGGGCCATCTATATAGCCGCAGTGCTGCCAGCTGGGTCAGTGAATCTGACAGCGGTTAGCAGCAGCAGCGAGGAACCTGGGCTTGCTTTCAAGACAATTTGAAAAGATTGCGAGAGATGGAAAGACTCAAAGAAGCACTTCGCGAGGCGGCGACGCTCGCGAAGCTCGCGGCGACGAGGGCACGCGCGGCCCAGTTGACCATCAATCAGGCCAACAAGACGAAGACGCACGCGGAGTACTGAGGAAGGAACCAGACGACCGACGCCAAATGAAATAATCAGTCAGGAGAGCCCAGGGCCCCCCAGAGAGCTCATTTAAATTTAGGAGCGCGCGAGCGAGCCCGGAGAGCCGCGGGGCCTCCTGAGAGGTAATACCACGCACTTCCTGTCGTGAGCTCGTTTTTCTCTGGCGCGCCTGGAGAGCGCGCGCGCTCGCCGCTCCTCGAGCTCCAACCCTCGGAGCTGGAGCGCAGAGCGAGGCAGGGTTGCCTGGGCGGAGGCCGCTGCTTCCATGGATCGTAGGAGCGAGGGGGCGCGCTGCGTTTGCTTGCGCTCGAGACTTTGCTGCCGCGGCCCGCAGGTAGTTGGGCCGGAGCTGCGGGCCCCGTGCGCGGCGATGCCACTTCTAGCCTGCGGCGCCCGGCTGATTCAGATAAGGTGGATGGCCATTTGCTTCCGACCGCTGCTTCTCTCTGCGCGCGGACATCGTCGCGCGGCGCCGCGAAAAAGCACCGCGGCGGAGGGCGCGGATAGTTTGCCGGATTCGGGCAAGCCGAGCCAAGTCAGGAACTGGCGCCTCCCGTTTGGAGCGCGAGTCCGCTGACTGCGCGCGCTCCCTCATTGTCTTCGGCGAGCGGAGCCAAGTCTCGGACTGGCGCCGCCCTTTTCGGAGAGCGAGCCCGCTGACTCACCCCGTTCGCGATGGGGGCGGCAGGAAAGCCTGCTGTCTAGGGATCGTAAATTCTGATAGCCGTTGTGCTCATTTGCGTTTAGATACGTTCACCCGTGTGTTCACATTCGCGCGTTGTGCGTTTAGAATTTGCGCGTGCGTCTTCGAGGATTGCAGCGGTCCTCATTGCGTAGGACGCGCGTCGCTGCTTTGTCTGCCCAAGGCCAGGGCGCTGACGCCGGCGAGCCCTGGCAGAGGAAACCATCAAGTTATCGACATCGAAGATCTCGCTGTCGGATGGAACCTCGAGTAACCTCCACGGCCCTCGTGGCAGGGCAGTCCCGATGCCCGAGGTCGGTGTGATGTCAGACCGCTCGGGGAGGTCTGCTGCACCATCTAGACGGCCCGGAATGATATTCAAGTATCATTCGGATTTAGGCAATCGAGCACGTTGCACGGATGAGGGGGGGGATGAGGAGGAGGAGGAGGAGGGCGAGAAGAAGCTGGATGAGCCAACAACATTGGAATAAACAGCCCTTCCAAGCTCCCTATTTAGAGGCCCGTCCAAATGGTTCATTTCCAGTGAGGGAAATCCCTCGTTAGGGTACAGCCGGGCGAAAATCCTGAAGCGTGCCAAAACACCATTCTCATGACTTCAACGCCGCAAGTAAACTATATTGTTGCGTCTTGACGATCTTCAATCGTGTCAAGACACCATTCTTGGGACTTCATCACCGCGGACAAAAACGCAACTGTTGCGCCGTGACAAGCCTGAATCGGCTCGACACCCCATGGTTAACCATGAAAACGAATGAAATGTTTGCAAATGTTTGGAATGACAAAATGCGCGGCGCTTAATCTAACACCATATTTTGAAAAAAAAAAAAAGGAGCCGCTTCAACCCGTCAAGTTTTTGCAATGCGCGGCGCTAAGGCGATAGCCACATTTCGAAAACGGCCCGCCCTCACTTCGTGAAGCGTTTGCAATGTTTTGGCCGCAAGTGCGCGGCCCTAAGGCGAAAAACCCATCTTGAAAACCACACGCCCCCAATCCGTGAAGGTCGTGTACATGTTTGAAACGAGTGTGCGCGGCGCTGAGGCCAGAGCCACATTTTGAAAACGGCCCGCCCTCAGTCCGTGAAGTTTGTGATGTTTACGACGATTGGGCGCGGCGCTCAGGCGAGAGCCACGTTTTGGAAACGACCCGCCCCCCATTTGCGAAATTGCTGCCAACTTTTGAGCTCTGGGCTCATAAATGGTAAGGCTGTCTCAGGCGAAACGCCTGGCCAGCCCTTCCGACTGGCCACGGGGTGCGACAGGGACGACTGCGTTGTAAGGAGAAGAAATAGAGGCGGGGAGGGTGCCCCACTCGTCTCATTCCCGCCCCGAGCCTTGCCGCGGCGCTCCTGGGCGCAGGTATCCCCCGAGGCGGCGGCCGCCGCTGCGCGACCCAAGCTGGCCCCGCGCCCTGGCCCCGACGCGCGGGCGCCTCGGCAGCCTCCGTCGGGAGGGCGGGGACGAGGGGAGGAAGAGGAGGGGGAGGAAGAGAAGGAGGAAAAGGAGGAGGAGGAGAAGGAGGAGGAACATTTGATCCATGTCCTCGCAACGCAAAAAAAATAAGGAGGAGAAGGAGGACGAGGACGAGGACGAGGACGAGGACGAAGATGATGAAGAGGACGAAAACGAGCAGAAGGAGGAGGGAGAAGAGGAGGGGGAGGGGGGGGCAGGCCCGTACGCTGCTCCCTTGCCGCACGCCGCAGAGACTCAGCCACGGAGCCGGCGCCGCGCCGCAGGGGGCTCGGCCACGGAGGCGGCGCACGCAAGGGGGGCGCGTCACACCCAACGTCAGGGCGTGGCGCGCCTGGACGCTTTGGAGCAAATGCCAATTCGCGCTGGCGAGGACATTTCACTTAGCGTGCCGCTCCGGCGGTTCTGGCCCAGCACGCTTCGGCGCGGCACGCTGTCCGTTTCCTGGTGCCCGGGCTTCCACGTCCCGGGTTCCTCCGAGCCTCCAGCGGAGCGGCACGCCATCCGCTTGCAGGGAGTAGCGTGTCGCCAGGGCCACCGCGGCGGCACGCTATCTACAAGTTCCTGACCGTAAGCTAGGCGCGCTCGCGCCATTTCTGACCTGCGCCGATTTCTCGCTACCCGCGGACGCGTGTCATGGCATATCTGGAATTCCCCCAAAAGCCAGATCTTATTATGCGCAGTCGGAAAAGGGGAGCTGCGTACATGATGGGAAGGGAAGGAGGAGGAGGAGGAGGAGGAGGAGGAGGAGGAGGAGGAGGAGGAGGAGGAGGAGGAGGAGGAGGAGGAGGAGGAGGAGGAGGAGGAGGAGGAAGTGCACGAGGATGGGCAAAAGGCTAAGGAGGAGGGGCGAGGAGGGGAGAGGTCCGCGGGGGGGATAGGCTCAAGGGGGGTAGTTCTGGGCTGTTTCCAATATCGGTCCTCGGGTTTTCGGGTCCTGACAGCCCGCCCCGCTCAGGAACGCGCGGAATCGCCATCGAGGGTTTAACGCTGCTCTATCGGCGAAGTATCGCCGATTCCAGGTCTACGCTTTCCCTCCTGAGCTGGTTCCACTCCCCCCCTTTCGCTCCCTCTCAGGGCAGAGATGAAGTGATGGAGGGATGGAGACCGCCATTCAATTAACGGACCCTGAGTGAAACGGGTCCTTGAGGTTTTTTGCTGCTTTGGCTCCCGGGGGCCATCCCTGGGCCCCGTGACCGCCAAAATCAATTACTCGGGATGACAAGCGGGTCCTGGTGGAAATCCTTCGGTGTCCAGGACCTTGTTCCCTCCACGGGGGAGGAGGACGAACAAGGAGGCAGGAGGCAAGAGGAGGCAGGAGTAACGAGGAGGGGGAGGAGCGATGAAGGAGGAGGATGAGAAGAGAGAAATGAGTACCATGACGATGAGGAGGATGAGGACTTGCAGCCGAGCTGTTGAGGAGCAGGGACAGGAACAAGATGAGGAGGAGGATCATGAGGAGGACAAGGAGGGGCAACAGCAGCAGGAGGAGGAGCAGCAGCATGAGGGACAGAAGGAGGAGGAGGAGGAGGAGGAGGAGGAGGAGGAGGAGGAGGAGGAGTGGAGGGTCGAGCGGAGGGGGCCAGGACGGAGAAGGTGCAGATGGAGGAGGTGGGGGAGGGAAGAGGGGGATGATTATTTGAAGGGGACTGAGGAGGGAGGAGTGGAGGAGGTAGAAGGCAGAAGGGATGAGGAGGAGGAGGAGGAGGAGGGAGGTTTCCTGCATGACTTGTCCTATTCAACTGCCGGGGGCCAGGGTCTTGGGTTCGACTTTGCAGATTCTGAAGAAGAGTCGCCGCTTTTGCTTACTCATCTTGCTTCGGCGGACAATATAATGTTGTTTACAGCGTTAGGCGATCAGTTTGGCTGCCTGGTTTCGGACCTGGCCCAGGCCATCCAGAGTGCCGGGTTCCAGTGGAAGCATACGCCCTTAGAATACATTTTTATATATATATATATATATGTATATATGTGTATGGTTGTGGCTATTTATTCGTTGCTCGGGCCACACCACCACCAGTGGCGCTGGACGGTGGCACGACGTTCCGGCACACTCAAGCCATTTTATTTCTTGGGACAGTCTTTGTTTACAAAGGCGACTCCGACATCAGCATGGAGCACAGATTGGGCAAGGGAGAGGCTTGATTTTGGAAGCGTTGGAAACTCTTCCCTGGCAGAGCGTCATTGGGCGATGAATTGGCTGCATGGACCGCGCCTGTGTCGTCCGCCTTGTTCGGCAGTGGCACGTGGCATCTAACCAAACACGCCGTGATGCGTGCGCAAAGATGGGGGCCCCGCCTTTCATGGAAAGGCTTTCAGCCGAAGCGCTGTCCAAACGAGAGTTTTTCCCCAATCAGAGCTTGCCTCTGTAGGGGTCCTAGCGGATTCATATGGTTAAGTTAGGTTTGCCGCCGATTTTCGCCGCACGCCCGGGTGCCAGGGTGCCTGGGGGTGCCCGGGTGCCCGGGCGTGCCCAGGTGTGCCTTATAGCCCTATCGCCCTGTAGCCCTATAGCCCTATAGCCCTACAGCTTTATAGCTCTATAGCCCTATAGCCCTATAGCTCAATAGCCCCATAGCCCTATAGCCGTATAGCCCTATAGCTCTATAGCCCTATTCCCCTATACCCTATAGCCCTATAGCCCTGTAGCTCTATTACCCAATAGCCCTATAGCCCATATAGCCCTGTAGCCCTACAGCCCTAAAAAGATTACGTAGCACCCCGCGATTGCGGATAAGAGTGAGGGGGCGGGCGCGGGCGACGCGGGCGTCGTCGAGCCGGCGGTCCCGTGGCCCCCACCTTCCCTGTCGATGGCGCTCTCCTCCTCCTCCTCCTCCTTCTCCTTTTCCTCGTCCTCGTCCTCATCGTCATCGTCATCCCCCTCCTCCACCTCGTCCTCCTTCTCCTCCTCGTTTTCCTCGTCCTCCCTCTCCCCCCCCATCGTCCTTTCATCATCGTCCTCCCATTGTCGTCCTCCCCCTCATCGGCCTCCATCATCGTCCTCCCATTGTCGTCCATCATCATCATCATCATCATCATCATCATCATCATCATCATCATCATCATCATCATCTCATCCCCTCATCCCCCCTCCTCCCCCTCCTCGTCCTCCTGCTCCTCCTCCTTTTCTTTCTCCACATTCTCCTTACATCCTCTCTTCTTCCGCGTTCTCCTCGTCCCCTGTTTACTCCTCCTGCCTCCCCCTCCTTTCCCAAGATAACTGCAACGCAATCCTTTTTTCCACTTTATGCTCCCCGCCTTCTCTGATCAAGGCAACTCGCCAGGGCAAAGTTGCTGGACGGGCTGGTGTGGATGCGCGGGGCTTGAAGAGGTCCTTGCGGGCTCAGACGGCATGCAAAAATCCGCCGCCGCGCTTGTGCGGCATTGGTTTGTTCAGTGAACGTGGTTTGGGTCGCGGGTGGGTCGCGGGCTTTCCACCTCCACCTGGAAGGAATGCAAAAGCAGCCCGCCGCAGGCGCCAAAAAAATGGTTTGTACACTGAACGTGGTTTGGGTCGCGGGTGGGCCGCGGGTTCTCCACCGGGAACGAATGCAAAAGATGCCCGCCGCAGGCGCCGAAAATGTGGTTTGTACCTGAACGTGGTCGCGGGTGGGCCGCGGGCTCTCCACCTGAAACGAATGCAAAAGATGCCCGCCGCAGGCGCCGAAAAATGTGGTTTGTACCCTGAACGTGGTTTGGGTCGCGGGTTGGTCGCGAGTTGGTCACGGGGTGGGTCGCGGGCTCTCCACCTGGAAGGAATGCAAAAAAGCCCGCCGCAGGCGCCGAAAATGGTGGTTTGTACCTTGAACGTGGTTTGGGTCGAAGGTGGGTCGCGGGTCGCGGGTGGGTCGCGGGTGGGTCGCGGGTGGGTCGCGGTCGCGGTGGGTCGCGGGGTGGGTCGCGGGTGGGTCGCGGGGTGGGTCGCGGGGTGGGTCGCGGGGTGGGTCGCGGGTGGGTCGCGGGTGGGTCGCGGTGGGTCGCGGGTGGGTCGCGGGTGGGTCGCGGGTGGGTCGCGGGGTGGGTCGCGGGTTGGGTCGCGGGTGGGTCGCGGGGCGGGTTGCGGGTGGGACGACGACAACAAACAACAAACAACAACGTTGAGAATCCGCACCGCGGAATTCCACTTCAGCCACTCACCCAGGGAACAGTGAATGACCGGTCGGCCCCCTCACTTTGACGATTGGGGTTTTTCTTCGGTATCATTCTATGTTTTATGATACCAGGACGGCCCTGTTGATAAGCATTGGTTTACTGAGCAATTCCAATCGCCGATGCACCATAAACTTCTCCTTTAGGTTTTCGATCATGCCTGGAGGGAACGACGTTTCCAATCTCCCAGCGGCAGTCGCCTTCTCCAGACTGCACGTGGCTTCTGGGACAGAGCTTTTCGGGAGACGGAGCAAACCTCCAGCGAAAGACGACGCGAAGCTGATGGTGTAGTGCACGCCAGCATAGGACACCGATGTGAATGGGAGGACGTGTTCTGCCTTGTTTTTGGTGCGGCTGGGCGGACCACCTGGGATCCGTGCGACAGCTTGCCGGAATGGCGGACATTATCCCCAAGGTTTTTGAACAGCATGTCCAAGCGTTGGCGATTGAGGGCGAGCCGATTGAGGCTCCTGAGGGCAGGAGCGCCAAGCGTCCCAAGCGGGACACGTATGATTTCGACAATTGCCCGACGACTCACGGGGACAACCCGCCCGCAATACCGTTCGAGCACCCGCGTGGCTGCTTTGCTTGCGCGGTGAACTGCAAGCCTTTCGCGGCTTTGGTTTGCGGACGCGCCCCTCTCGTCGACGCGGCCCTGCTTCGGGCACTCGAGCGCATCGCGAAGAACGCGCTCCACCTGATAGATTCCGGCTCGTCCCTGGCCGAAGGCGATCATCGGCGATCCAGTCTTATGGCACCGACGCGAATACAGCAAGATAGCAGATGTCCTCGTCAATTGCACCATGGAGTGTTGCAGGAGTTGGTTCAAAGAAATTCCTTTTGCCATGCTGCAGTTTTCTCCAGACGATGCCAATTTCATATGCCATTCAGATGGCGGCGTGCGCCGCGACTCTTGCTCAGTGGCAGCATGGGTCATCGGAGCAGTCGTCATCGGGGACGGTCGTCGACATATCTTCCCAATCGTTTTCCCCGGGGCATTCTTCGTTTCGCCGGTGTCTCAGCAAAACCCGCCGTGCCACCTGACCGCCAGCCCTGGAGCCTCGGAGGAGGAAGAGGAGAAGGAGGAGGAGAATGAGCCAGCTGGACGACGGATGGGGGTCAGAAAAGGTGGAGGATGGGGACGGGACCTCCACCCACCTCGGGCGAAGAGAACTATGCACATGCACCGATCCTGGCAAGGCCCATTTTTGACCCAGGATCGGTGCATATGCCTTCCTGGCCAAGGTAGGAGGGCGTATGCACCGATCCTGGGCTCAGGATGGGCCTGGCCAGAATCGGTGCATGTGCATAGTTCTTTTCCCTCTACCACCCAGCCTCCACCCTCACACCCTCCCCAGATCATTGCTCAGCGGGGCTACGTTGCCCGAGGGAATGGTAGTTCAAGAGCGCCGCCTGCGCCCCTGGCGGATCCTGCCCGATGCCATGCTCGGCGCCCTCCACCGCCCGACCGCGCGGCGCCTTCGACTGCTAGTCCGATCCCAGAGGCGACTGCGAATGCGGACGAGGATGTGGACGAGAGAAAAAAACGCCGAGGAATCCACGGACCCGTTGGAAGAGAGCGCGGAGGAGGAGATGGAAGACGAAGAGGAGGAGGAGGAGGAGGAGGAGGAGGAGGAGGAGGAGGAGGGCGGTGCAACCTCCGCCTGTGGAAGGTCGAGGACCACCCCGTCTTCCATGGTGAGCCCCTCCTCCGTCTCGTCCGCTTATTAATGACTGCCTCGAAGGAGCAATGGCAATCGGATGGATGGGAGGGGCCGCTGTGCAGGGCGGTGAAGAGCGCAAAGCAGCCGTTCTTGCTTGTTTGCCCCCGCCAGCCTACAAGGCCTCGGCGGCCTAGGAGTGCAGCGCTGAGCGTTTCAGGCGGTCGGGCGAGGAACGCGCCCCCAAGCGATTCGACACCCGAGTCGGCGAATAGAATGCGCCCAGCGCGACCCCAATCAAGCACGTCCACGGCGACAGCGACGGGGGAGGGCGAGGGGGATGAGGACGGAGGAGGACGAGGAGGACAATGAGAACGAGGAGGAGGGGGAATATGGGGGAGGATGGGGGAGGAGGAAAGAGGAGGAGGAGGAGGAGGAGGAGGAGGAGGAGGAGGAGGAGGAGGAGGAGGAGGAGGAGGAGGAGGGGAGGGGGAGGGGAGGAGAAGGAGGTGGGGGAGGGGAGGAGGAGGAGGAGGAGGAGGAGGAGGAGGAGGAGGAGGAGGAGGAGGAGCAGGAGCAGGAGGAGGAGGAGGAGAAGGAGAAGGAGGACGTGGAGGGCGAGGAGGAGGAGGGGAGGGAGAATGAGGAAAGGGAGGAGGGAGGACTCTGGGGCCCCGGGCGGCGGCGGCAAGCGGCGGCCGCGCCGCTGCCCGCGGCCAGGCATAACCATCCCTCAGCAGAGCGGCTCCTCCTCCTCCTCCTCCTCCTCCTCCTCATCCTCTTTCTCGCTCTCCTCCCCTCCTTCCCCTTCTTCCTCCTCCTCCTCCCCCTCCTCTTCTTCATCCTCCTCCTCCTTCTCTTCTCGTCCTCCTCCTCATCCTCCTCCTCCTCCTCCGCCTCCCCCCCCCTCCTCCTCCACCGCTTCCTCCGCCTCCAGAGCCCCCGTCACCCGACTCGAGCTTTGTCCTGTCGTCCTCTTCCTTCTCCCACTCCCCCTCGTCTCCCTCCTCAGGAGGAAGGCGAGGAGTCGGGGGGAAGCCAAGGAGGGGAGGAGAAGGAGGAGGAGGAGGAGGAGGAGGAGGAGGAAGAGGGTAGAGCTTGATGGTTCGTCTTTGCGCCAGGGCTGGGGCCCGCGCTGCCTTTTCATCCAGCTGGGGCCGTCCTGACTGTCACGGGCGCCCCCCAGCCGCCGTCCTGTCGCCATCGGGCCCCTTCCACAGGCTGCCGAGGCGGATCAGAGCGCCTGCCCGCAGCGGGCCGAGCCAGGCCGCGAGGGCCGAGGCGGGCCGATGCCACAGGATCACAGCTTCACCAGACTTGGAACTACTTGCCCCAACAATTAACATTCCACTTCTCCTCCTATTCCTCGTCCTCGTTTTTCTGCTCCGTCGTCCTTCTCTTAACTTGTTAACTTGGCACGGCGGGTTTTATTACGGTGTCTTCTTTGGTGGCCAGGACAGTCGCACTAGACGACTGCATCGCGCGCCTCACCATATTCATTTGCCCAGCCAACTTTGCCAAACGTGTTTGGTTGATTTAGCTGTACATCGTAATTGTAGGCCTGTCACAGTACGTGGCATGAGGCGTCAGAAAAAAAAACAGGGAGGGAGGAGCAGGAGATGGAGATGGATGGGTCGATGGAGGAGGGGGACGATTATCAGAAGATGAGGGCGAATCTGCCTGAGGAGTTGGCTCCTCACCACCTCACCTTGGGGGGCAGCCCTGCACGCCAGATCCATTCTTGACGGCCCAGCGGGAGGCCGAAGTTAGGAGGAAAGAGAGCGGTGACCGAAGGCATCAATCCTCGCGCGGCGCGCGGCGGCGTTCGAGGGTTGATTAATTAGCTCGCGGCCCGAAACATACACACACGTCTCTAACCGCGGAAGGTCTTTGATGATGCCCTCCCCCCAAAAGCTCGCGCCTGGCAATTAAACTCGTCTCTTTCCCCTCCTCGTCCTTCCCCTCATCATCCGCATCACCGTCAGGGCTGCTGATCTCCCCCAAGATCATCAGCGGTGGCCGTCGCGGGAGAGCAAATAGTTTCCCAGTATTGTCGGGGTCCAAATACGTGAATAAACCCGCGCAAGGAAAAACAATATGTTCCCCATTACCGGGGGGGTCATTAAAGACCTATCGCAGTCAAGCGCGGAACCTCCACTGGACAACCGCGGGCACGCTCCGAAGGCAGGGAGGAGGTGGGGCAAAGTGTCCCCACTTGATCATCGCTAGGACGGGAACTCGCACATCTTCGCTTCACCCGCGTGCGTTTCACGCACGACGTGCACCGAAACCGAAACCGAATTCCCAGCTGGTGGACTCCGATCATATATACACATAAAGGTATATTTATACACATGCGTACACAAGTATACATATCTACTCATATACACATATCTACAGAGAGAGAGAGAGAGAACAAACAAACACAAGTAAAACATTTGTGCATATACCTACCTGCATCCCCCGATTTAGGCACATGGCAAACATCACAACGAACATCTGAGCCATGTGCCCTCTCTCTCTCTCTCCCCCCCTTCGCTCCCTTTTCTTTCTGTGAATATATATATATATATACACACACGTAGAGAATCTAGCAACGAAGGCAACAACGTGCCCACGTAAACACACACGCACACACACACACTCTCTCTTTCGTCTGCGGATGTAGACACGAATGCGTAAACAGTTGTGTAGAAAAGGGCCCAATACCAGCACTTGCCGCGCGCTGAACCGTCGTGCCGCGGCCGTGCCGGGGCGTGCTCCGAGGCGTCTTTCTGCTCCGCCGCGGCCGTCGCCGCCAGAGGAGGAGGGCGCGGCGGCCGCCGTGATGGAGCCGAGACGTCCGACGGCGGCTTCGTCGGCTCTGGCAGCGACGGGGGCAAGGCGGTGTATCAACGTGGGGGGATCGAGAATCCCAAGAGAGTGGCCCTACAGGAGCCCCAAGTGGCCCTGCAGGAGCCCTAAGTGGCCCCCTTCTGCGCCCAGCTTTTGTGGCCCCCCCTCGCCCCGTCAGCGAGCACCCGATCAGCGTCGCGGCTTTCTCGTCGGTCCCGAGAGAGGGGGATCTCCCCCTCACGAGGATGGCGACGACGATCACGACGACGAGGACGAGGCGAGGGTACTAAGACGACGACGGTTTTCGTCTGTTCCCTGGGTGGTCCCAGCCCCCAGCTTCGGAATGTCTTCCAAACGGCTGCGCCCAGCCGAGAGCGTTCCAGGGGTGCCCGGATCGTCCCGAACGGCGGCCGCCGGAGGCTCAAGTTCGGGCCCGGAGGCCGCCTTCGTCCAGGCATCCGACGGTATTGTTTGTGTTTCAATATGGACATCCCTCGTCGGATTGAAAACAGGAATCCCGACGAAACATTTGCCCCCATGCGAGGGGTCGGTACCTCCTTGGGGCCACGCGTTCAACACACTGCTTCTTCGGATGTCTGGGAGTCCATGCCTCCCATGGTGCCAGAGTAGACAGGGGTCGGGAGATCGCGCGGCATCAGACTCGCCCGCCCTCGTCCGCCCTCGTCCTCATCCTTGCTCCCCTGTCGACATCCTTGCCCCACGTCGTCCACACGTTCGCACGCTGGGCTCGGCCATCCCCCGCGACTCAGGCCTGAGGCTGGGCGTCCATGGGATGTTACAGTCGAGAAGATGCACGCAACGCTTGGCAATAGTCGAGCGGGGTCTGAAGGCACTCACGCTCGCGGACATGCAGCGTGCAGTACAGATCCATGCCACTAGCGCGGCCAAAGGATGCGCAGGCCGTCAGAATAAAGCCCCTGGCGCACTGAGCCGCGAAGAGCGTTTCAACCGCGGGCTCCTGACCTTTTCCCACTCCCTCTGGGAAGGGAAGAGGCCTCATCCTTACTCTCGCTACGCTCGCAGAGCTCCGCGCGCGGGCCCCCAGAGGGGCGCGGCCCCTTGGGGACCACGAATTGCGCCAACGTTGCCACTCCCATGGGCTCTTGGGAGGTCCAGCGGAGCGGGTAGTCACGCGGGTCCTTGCGAGACCTCGCAGCTCTTCGGAAGGATGCGAACTGCGCAACCGTCGTCACTTTCTCTTGGGAGGTCCAGCGTGGGGGGGGCTGTCATTTGACGCTCGGCGCTGTTGCATCACGGAGTGCAGAGCGCCGGACCGCCACGTGGCGCGTGGCATTGTCTTTGGCGGCCGATTCTGCCACCCCTCCTCAGTTGCCTGCCGCCCGCAGCAGCGACAGCAGGGGTAAGCCTGGCAGATGTAGCGCATGGCGCTTTCACTCTCACGAGCACGGATTTCCCTTTCTTCTCCATCCTCCTCGTTCTTCTCCCCCCGCGTCGGCCTCCTCCTCCTCCTCCTTCTCCTTCTTCACTTCTGTCCATCGTTCTATGTCCGTTGTCGTGCTTTTGGTCGCCTTTCTTATGGCGATCTGAGCTGCGCAGGTGTGCGACGCGCTTGGCCCGACGTTGTTTGGCGAAGCAGGGTGCTGCATATCTCGAAAAGTGCTCTTTTGTATGGAGCGTCCATGCGATGAGCCGCCTCACATGCAGAAGGGGTTGGGTAGGTTCCGGGCAATGTTATAAAGCGCTACCGTCCTCAAACCCAGTGCCAGGCAGCATCACGCGTTGCGTGGGACAGTTGCATCATATAGCGCTGTCTGCAGCGCAATGGTTATGCTGACAAGTTGCACCTACGCGGTTGCAGAAGTGCGCGGCCAGTTGAGGCTTCGAAAGGGGGGCTGGAGATGCACGGACCGCTGGCGCGCCATTGCGATGTACATACGCAGTTGGGCAACACAGAAGCGATTTGAAACAACTGGAAGTTTTCCACACATGGACATGTTGTTGTGTATATGCTGTCTTCATCTGGGGTTATGTATTGTCATATATTCGTTCTCGTTTCGCTGCTTTCTTTAGATTCTCGTTCTGCGTATAATTTCCCTGCCTTTTTTGTTCCCCTGTGCCGCCGATGCCCCTTCCCTCCATCTCCCCTCGTAGCCATCCCGTCCCAACACCGCCCCGAACAGGACGTGTCTGTTCCAGCTCCGCCGCTGCAGTGCACCCCGTTGAACGACCACCAGAGACTATACCACCAAACGCTGGCGGGACGGAGAGCGAAGGGAAGGAGAGGATGGGAGCGAATTAGAGACACGTGAGATGCTGGAGGAGGAGGAGGAGCAGCAATGAAGGAAGAGAAGGAAACAAGGGGGATGGCAGATGAATCCGCAGCTTCAGGGACCCATCTGTCTCGAGTTGCCGCAAGCGGCTCGAGCCCTTTGCGTGCTGACCTAGACGCGAAGACAAGGCGGAGTAAGAGAGCTATAGAGGAAATGGAGAATGAGCTTCATCATGAGGAGGAGTGATCGGATGAGAGATGTGGATGAACGATGCAATGAGAGCGAGGAGGAGACACAGAGAGGAGATTGCGGATGAGAGATGATAGGGTACACACGAGCAGAATCACTGCATGGGTATCGGCTGCTCGGCAGGCCTCGACGAGCGCCAGAATCCAGAGCGCGTATTGAACAGAAGTCGTTGTGAACAGCGTCCTTGGGGGAGAGAAGGGTGGTGAGGACCGAGGAGGAGGAGGAGCAGGAGGAGGATGAGGAGGAGGAGGACAAGGAGAGGGCATCGATCCGAGGGGTGAGCCTGCCCGTGGCATCGAGCATCGAGGTGCAAGAGGTGGAATAGGAGGCAGCAGTGTAGGGTCAAAGCAGATTTGGTCAGCCGCGGCCACAGGTTAAGCCAGAGCGGCTTCCCTCCTCCAAGCGGGCGGCGCGAGGGCGCGATGCGCCGAGGTGGGTGGCCCAGGTAGAAGGAGGGCGGGGTGAGGGAAGGCGAGCGGGCATTGCGGGCAGCCAGAGGAGGCGATCGGGGCGGAGAATGTCGCTGTCGTCGACGGGGGTGGCGCAGGTGTGGCGCGTGCACCTGCAGCAGCAAGAACTCCAGCGCTCCGTCGCGGAACTCACGCAGATGCAAACCATCTTGGGCGGCCCGGTGCCGATCCAGACGGTCGCGGCGGGCCGCGCCGCGCTTGCCAGGATCTGTGGGAGGCCCAGATATCCGACGATCGATCTTGTTTCAGTCCTGGGCGTTTTCCCGTCGGCGATATGGTTTTCGTCGGCGCCCCCATGTTTTCGTCGGTTCATTGAGGTTTTGCAGCCTCGGCATGCTTTCCAGCTGCTCCGCCTCGCCGAGAGCCTTCTGGGGGTGCCCAGATCGTCCCGAACGGCCGCTGGAGGCCCCACCCCTGTGGCCCGATCACCACCGCCGCCCAGGCTTCTGGCGGTAGAACTGGTTGAATGCCAGCATCTTTCCCTCGTCTCGGCACCTTGGGCCCGTCATCTCCTCCTCCTCCTCCTCCTCCTCCTCCTCCTCCTCCTCCAGGAGTGAAAGACTGCCCCCAGGAAGGGGTCGGGGCTTGCTTCGGAGCAGTCGTGCCGTCGGATGCCCGGGGAGCGTCGGCGCCCACGGCCCCCCGCGGCAGGCCCGCGGGCTCCTCGCTGCCGCTCCGTGGCTGCCTCGGGGGCGCCCAGTTGCCGCCGCGTTGCCGCTTCTTCGCGCTGCCTGGTGCGCTGCTAGGCGCTGCTGCTGCGGCGGGGCCGAGCGCTCTCGCGTCCAGGACGAGGAGGGGAGAGGCGGAGGAAGGGGACGAGGGGGGCGCCACCCTGTCAGGGCCCTCTCTGGGCGCGGGCACGAGCGGCATGCAGCAGTCAGGTGGTATTGAAACACTAGGTCCTAGGCGTGGGGGGTGGGGGGCGTGATGCGAGAGAGGGAGAAGAGAGAGCGAGAGAGAGAGAGAGGGAGAAACAACAAGGAGACCGAGAAAGAGACGAGGGGGTGTTTTGGCCGCCGATGAAGCAATGGGCCTGTCAGCAGAGACCGGCACGCAACTCGCAGAACATTCGTGATACGGTAGGTTCGCGTCGTGTCGACCCGCGGCGACCCCCGCCCGCGGCGTTTAACGTTGAATGCCGCCGGCGACCCAGAATCGGTCGATGTTGAACGATTGGACGTTGCGGGAACGGCCGATCGTTCAAGGTTGAACGATCCCCGCGGTGTCAGAAACCAACGCCGGGGTCGACGCGACGCGAACCTGCCGTGCATCCACTCAACTGGGGCATCTGCGCTGCACGCGTGGAGGGCGGCTTTTTTTCTCAAGATGCGGCCCTTCCCCCGTCGGCGCCACGCGCGCGTCCTCGTCGTCGCCTTCCCGCTCATCGTCACTTCTTCGCCTGCCCCTGGTCCTCCTGCTCGTCCTACTCCTCCAGTTCCTCCTCCTCCTCCTCCTCCTCCCTTCTCCATTCTTGTTCCTGACAAATAACCCCTCCCCGTCGCACCACCAGGCGTGTCGTTAGGGTGGGCCCGGCGTTTCGCTTGAGACTTCCTTGCCGTTGATGACCTTGAAGCTTAGAATTTGCAGCCGCTCACGGATGGCAAGGGCGCGTCGTTTCCAAAACGCGGTTCTCGCATTAGCGCCGCGCACATTCGTTTTAAACATTGCAAAGATCTCACGGACAGAGGGCGGGCCGTTTTCAAAATGTGGTTCTCGCCTAAGCGCCGCGCATATTCGTTTTCAAAGTTTGCAAGAATTTCACGGATGGAGGGCGGCTCGTTTTCAAGTTGTGGCCTTCGCTTTTGCGCCACACGCATTCTTTTTGAAGTTCACAGCAATCTCAACGATCCTTGTGGTTGAGGTCCCAGGAAGACTGTTCCGGCACGATTTAGATTGCCAGGGCACAACATTCACGATGATTTGCGGTGTTGAAGTCCCAGGAAGGGCGTTCTGGCACGATTCAGGATAGTCAGGACGCGACAGTCACGATGATTCGCGGCGTTGAAGTCCCAGGAATGATGATCTGGCGCCATTGACGAGTCTCAGACGGTTGTCTTCCAACGGGGCATTCCCCGCAGTGAGCAACAAAATCTTGGAGGCATTTCCCAACCCTCCTGTGGTGTTGGGCACTCGTTTTTAATAGAGCAGTGTGGTCTCCTCCTCCTGCCCCTCCTCTTCCTCCTCCTCCTCCTCCTCTCCTCCTTATCTCCTGTCTCCTGTGTTTCCTTCCCCTCTTCTCTTGTGCCATCTGCGAACTGCGCAGCTGTCGCCACTTTCGTGGGCTCCTGGGAGGCCCAGCGGAGGTACGTCCCACGCGGATCACCTCAGTACCTCGCCGCCCCCTGGGGGGCTTGCGATCTGCGCAACTGTCGCCACTTTCGTAGGCTCCTGGGAGGCCCAGCGGAGGTACGTCCCACGCGGATCCCCTCCGTACCTCGCCGCCTCGCTTGCGATCTGCGCAGTTGTCGCCACTTTCGTGGGCTCCTGGGAGGCCCAGCGGAGGTACGTCCAACGAGGATCCTCTCCGTACCTCGCCGCCCCCTTGGGGAGCTTGCGATCCGCGCAATTGTCACCACTTTCGCGGGCTGCTGGGAGGCCCAGCGGAGGTACGTCCCACGCGGATCACCTCGGTACCTCGCCGCCCCCTGGGGGGCCTGCGATCTGCGCAATGGTCGCCACTTTCGTGGGCTCCTGGGAGGCCCAGCGGAGGTACGGCTCACGCGGATCCCCTCGGTACTTCGCCTCCCCCTGGGGGGCTTGCGATCTGCGCAGCTGTCGCCACTTTCGGGGCTTGCGATCTGCGAAACTGTCGCCACTTTCGTGGGCTCCTGGGAGGCCCAGCGGAGGTACGTCGCACGCGGATCACCTCGGTACTGTCGCCATTTTCGTGGCCTCCTGGGAGGCCCAGCGGAGGTACGTCCCACTCGGATCACCTCGGTACCTCGCCGCCCCCTGGGAGGTTTGCGATCTGCGCAGTTGTCGCCACTTCCGTGGGCTCCTGGGAGGCCCAGCGGAGGTACGTCCCCCGCGGATCCCCTCGATACCTCGCCGCCCCTTGGTGGGCTTGCGATCCGCGCAATTGTCGCAACTTTCGTGAGCTCCTGGGAGGCCCGGCGGAGGTAAGCCACGCGGATCACCTCGGTACCTCGCCACCCCCTGGGGGGCTTGCGATCTGCGCAGTTGTCGCCACTTTCGTGGGCTCCTGGGAGGCCCAGCGGAGGTACGTCCCACGCGGATCACCTCGGTACCTCGCCGCCCCTTGGGGGGCTTGCGATCTGCGCAGCTGACGCCACTTTCGTGGGCTGCTGGGAGGCCCGGCGCAGGTACGTCCCCCACGGATCCCCTCCGTACCTCGCCGCCCCCTTGGAGGCTTGCGATCCGCGCAGTTGTCGCCGCTTTCATGGGCTCCTGGGAGGCCCAGCGGAGGTACGTCCCCCGCGGATCACCTTGGGGAGCTTGTGATCCGCGCAATTGTCACCATTTTCGCGGGCTGCTGGGAGGCCCGGCGGAGGTACGTCCCACGCGGATCACCTCGGTACCTCGCCACCCTCTGGGGGGCTTGCGATCTGCGCAGCTGACGCCACTTTCGTGGGCTCCTGGGAGGCCCAGCGCAGGTAACTCCCACGCGGTGACTGGGTGCCCCTGCTTATCCTCGAGGCCGCGACCTTTTGTTTCCACTTTTGGGTTCTTTACTTGGGTTCGCTGCTGCGCCCTTTTGTCTCCACTTTTGGGTGAGTCTCCGCCCCCGTTATGCATCTCATGCATTTGCCTCTTTCAGCGTAGCGCGTTGCTGAGTTAAACCGATGTTCTGGTTTAGCCCTCGCCGCCCCCCGCTTGTGTGTTTATGTCAACGCCCTTGTGCTTCCATTGTGTATGTTTGCTGTTCCTGTTCTTGATGCTCTCTTCTGATTTCACTCCTGAGTGCTCTTCTTGCGCACTGCGGGCCCTTCAAAATGCCAGTCAGCATTGAGTGATCCTGAACACAAGCGCCACGTGTATAAAAAGGGTTGGGTACGTCGCAGGGTAGTTTTGAAGATTGAACTTGGAGGCAGGGTTTATTGCAACATCGTTGATGCGTCTTGGGTTTACACTGGTCTTCCTCCTTCTCCTCCCCCCCCTTCTCCTTCTCCTCCTCTTCCTCCTCCTCCTCTGTTATCCTGCACTCATCCTGCTGCCTGTGCAGGTCGCCGAGCAGGCCGCCTCTGTCCTGGTGCCGCTGCACAGTGCCCCAAATCCAGGCTGGGGCCAGGCTGCCCGGCCGGGGGTGAACAGGAACGGCCGGGAATTCTTCGCCAAGTTCGTGCACGTACGAGAGGTGCGACATTGTCTAGGCCTCCCAGACGGGGTCGGAGGATCGCGCCGCACCGCCGATGCATCGGCGATGCGTCTCGATGTGGAGCCCGATTTTCGATTTTTCCACGCCGACGTCGCCGATGCATTGTTGATGCATCGGCCATGCGGCGCGATCCTCCGACCCCATGTGCTCGGACCTCGTCATGGAAGCCTCTACCTTTCGATGGAACCCTAAGATCCTGGCAACTGGCGGCATGGAACGTCAGAGCAATGATCATTCCTCCTCCTCCTTCTCCTCCTCGTCCTCCTCCTCCTTCTCCTCCTGCCCCCCTCCTCCTCGTCGGTTCCGCCGCGTCCGTGGGCGGGAGGAGGAGGAGGAGGAGGAGGAGGAGGAGGAGGAGGAGGAGGAGGAGGAGGAGGAGGAGGAGGAGGAGGAGGAGTGGCAGCCAGGAGCAGTGGGAGCAGGAGAGCGGGGTGGCTGAGGCCGCCGAGATCCGGGGGCTTCCTTCTCCCCCGCCTTCGGACTCGGCCCTGTTCCAGGTCCCCTCTTTCATCGGGCACCCTCCGAAGCTAGATGGGACCCGCTTGCCCATTCTTTATCTCAGTAGGCCGCTTGCTCGATCGGCATCTCGAATCGGCAGCGAGCCACATCATACCTATAATTACCGATACTCGGGAGCGTCCAAGAGGGGGGTAATGATTTGGTGGGGGCGGATATCATGGCGGGGCCACGATCTCTCCCCAGATCTCGTGGCCCCTCCTCTTATTTCAAAATTTCCATACCTCCCCTGGCCCCCCTCGTCCGCGCACATGCCTAGGGCCATGGTCTGCGAACCACCCTCCTGGACGCCCCTTTTGGGCGCCCCCGAGATGCCCCCCTCCCCTGGCAGGCTGCCCACCTGGTGCCCCCGCCCCCCGGGCAGCCGCCGCCGCCCGCGCCGCCCGGGCAGTCGCCGCCGCCGCCGCCCGCCGAGCCGCCCGCCCCGCCACCGGCCATCGGCTCCAAGAGCAGGAGCCGCTCCCGCCCCCCTTCTCCCGTGCCTTCTCCTCCTCCTCCTCCTCCTCCTCCTCCTCCTCCTCCTCCTCCCTCCTCCCTCCTCCCCCCTCCTCCTCCTCCTCCTCCTCCTCCTCCTCTCCTCCTCCTCCTCCTCCCTCCTCCTCCTCCCCCTTCCTCCTCCTCCTCCTCCTCCTCCTCCTCCTCCTCCTCCTCCTCCTCCTCCTCCTCCTCCTCCTCCTCCTCCTCTTTCTCCTCCTCGTCCTTGCCTGCTCGCGCCGCGTGTGTCCCTTTATCGCGGGTGCTCCGTGGTCGGGAGCCGGCGCATTCCCTCGCCGCCCCTCGGTCGGGGCGGTCGCCCCCAGGAGCGACGCGCAAACGGGGGGCCATTCCTTGCCTCCTCTTCCCTCCTCCTCATGGTGTCGGGCCGAAGGTCGAACTAATCGAACAACACCACAACCCGAGAAACTTCAGATATGTGCGACCTACTTCACTCAGGGCCCGCTCTTTTCATGTAATTTGTTTCCCCCTTCTCCTCTCTCAGACTGGGGGGTCTCAGCTCTGGCCTGTCGCGTCCCCCACCGACAATGCTCGCTCGCGCACCGACAGTGCAAGCGTCAGCTGCAGGTTCCTTCTAAGAGCAGCTGGCCCGTCACAGTGCCGAGCGTGTCCAGGAAGGTCGCCCTGCCTTGGTCCCAGGTGGTGGGAGATCTGGCCGAAGGGCTCTCCCCCACCTGCTGCCGCGCTGATGTCTAGGCGCCAACAGCTAATAGACTCTTCAGCTGGGTTGGAGTGGGGAAACAGGACCACCCTGCTCCCCTGCTCCCCAGAGCCACTGTCTTCCGAACCCGGTGCGGGTTCCATTCGCTACCGTGCTGTAGAGTCACGTGCAAGGCGAAGTTCACACCCGCAATCGCCGACAATTGTGTGTAGGCCCTGCTGGACACATGAGCGCCGACGCCTTCGGAAAGGACCCTGCTGTTGCCGTCCCCGAAACGCGCGCGATATCATTGTTTCGGTGCCCTATCGCGCAATCATCTGCAACGGGTCATGTAGTGGATGGGGATCTAGTTTGGGGATGGGGTTCCCCGTGACATGCTGTTCTACATTTAGAGAATATGAATACTACTCTCTTCTCTCTACCGGTGGCGTCCGGGAAATGGCCGGCCCCCCTCCGCGTACTGGCTTGTTACGCACAGGATTCCCGGGAAACGGGTATTCGTTTGGGTTTTTTCTTCATTTTCGGTCTACCGCTCGTTCTGAATCGTGCTCCCACTGCAGCGCTGGCCTCATTTCCGCGCTTCCGCTCGTTCCGAATCGTGCTCCCGCTGCAGCGCTGGCGTCATTATTTCCACCGCCATGCCACGGCATGGTTTTCGATCCTTCCAAATAGGCCCCAAAATCTAGAACATGCTCCCCGAAAAAACCATCGGAAGTGATCACACATTCGGTGTCAATTCGGTGATTTTTTGCGCTGTAGAAGTCCCCCCCCACTTTGGGGCGTCGCCACGCCATGCTATGTCAGGCTCCGAGTCCTCATTTCCGCGCTTCCGCGCTTGTGTTTTTTTGAACATGCTGCTCTCGCCTAAGCGTTGGCCTCATTTTCGGGCTACCGCTCGTTCTGAATCGTGCTCCCGCTGCAGCGCTGGCCTCATTTCCGCGCTTCCGCTCGTTCCGAATCGTGTTCCAGCTGCAGCGCTGGCGTCATTATTTCCAGCGCCATGCCACGGCATGGTTTTCGATCCTTCCAAATGGCCGCAAATCTAGAACATGCTCCCCAAAAAAACCATCGGAAGTAATTACACATTCGGTGTCGGTTCGTTGATTTGCTGGGCCGCAGAAGCCCCCCCCCTTTGGGGCGTCGCCACGCCATGCTATGTCCGGCTACGCGTCCTCATTTCTGCGCTTCGTTCCGAATCGTGTTCCCGCTGCAGCGCTGGCCTCATTTCCGCGTTTCGGCTCGTTCCGAATCGTGCTCCCGCTGCAGCGCTGGCGTCATTATTTCCACCGCCATGCCACGGCATGGTTTTCGGTCCTTCCAAATAGGCCCCAAAATATGAAAAACAATTCCCAAACCATATCGGAAGTGATTACGCATTCGGTGTCGATTCTTTGAGTTGCTGGGCCGCAGAAGCCCCTCTTCATGTTGGGCCGTCGCTACACCATGCTATGTCATGCTACGCGTTAAGCTTCAACAGCACCCTGCAGTGCCATCTAATGCCATGCCATGCTACGACATCCGATTGTGCGAATAGGGAGGAAATCTGCGCCGTAGGAAGGGATGGGAGGGAGGGGTAGGACGTCAGATATGACGCAGGCGCACCTGGCTTGCCTTCTCCCCCTCGCTTGTCTACCCCTCCACCATTATTTTCCCTCTGCCCCCCTGCGTCATTCCCCCTCCCTTCTTCCGCCTTTCACATTCAACGAAGGTCAGAGGGCAAAGGCGAGCATAGCGAGCACCGTGCCTACGTCCGACGCCGCTTGGCTCAAGCGGCGCCGTTCTATTTGACCACCCCACGCCTGTGGGGTAAAATTGCACCTGGGTAGCGGAAAAGGAGACGTCCACATCTTTCGATGGTGCGACTTCTCATATCTTGCTTTATCTCCGACCAACCGACCTACTCTTCAGTATGGGATAAGCTATGGGATACCATGATACGTCTACGACGTTATCATATCATGCAGGGTCTCGGCTTACACCCTGCAGACCCTCGCTTTTCATTGGTTATTACAGCATGTCTTATGTACATAACAACATGCTACCGCACAGTGGGACCTATGCAAATTGTGCCAGCGATCAACCACTATACTCCCATTACTTGTCAACTTCTTGGTACTACCGTGCTCCTCCTTCTCACCACCGCGTGGCCACACACACACACCACACCAACACGACCCCCATACACATTCGCAAACAGACGGACACGTCAGCCCAACAACATACCGACCATAACACCATCAACCACGACATGAACATGCTTTACGTTCAAGTTCCTGTTTTGGCTTTATGTGGGTGCGTTTTGGTCTAGCATCTAGCAGTGGGGTGCATGCCACGGGGAATGGACGACACACGCACCAGAGGTCCCCTCTGGGACCCTGCAGGTAACGTACCATTCCTCCGCGAATTCGTTTTCGAAGTACATGCATGGTTCAACGTTGCATGTGGGGCTAAGACTCCGCCACAACAGGCTGCACCATTGCAGCGAGGCCTTGGAGGCCTAGCCAGGACCCTGGCCGTGAGAATGCCGTCTACCATCATCAACTACGGTATCACTTTACGAGGTAAACGCACCGACGGAGTTACGCACATCATGTACCTCCTCAGCACTAAATTATAAAATCTTGACGAGCGACAACTCACCTCGGGAGCCGCCCTTGTTGAGAGGGGCGAGCGAATCGACTCGGTGTTAGCCCGATTCGAAACGACCTGACCGGAAGCAGATTCGGCTGGTTTCAACATACCGATTTTCCAGATCCTGACGCCCTTGCTGTTTCGAGGTCTGGGGTGCGCACCTCCCGAGCATCTCAATTACTACAGCCACTACACCACCGGGTGCCCCGTACCCAACAACAGCACGATCAGCTACTGAGGCGAATTCGCAGCTATGGGCACTTAGCTGAGCGCGCTTCTGGATGCATCGCGGGCGTCTTCAGTGGCCGGAATGCCGGCGCGTTTTGCGCAGACACAAGCGACGCGCTAGCGGTCGCGCCTGGCAACATCTGGGGCGACCAGGAGCCAAACGCATCAACAACACTTCAAGGCCAGGAAAATGGCAACCCGAAAGCCTCCGGTACCAACGCTGGTTGGCCGACGGCCGCCAGTTACACGCCGCCAACCGCAACTGCCTTGCGGGGCTCGTCAGACCCTTTGACTCTGGAGCCGACACCGACGCCTGCCCATCAACTGGCGTTGAAGAAATTGATTTGTCAGATCTGCCAGCTGGCGACGATCAAGCAGCGCAGCGCCTATACCTGGGATGCCATCATGCCAAAAGAAAGTGGAGCCAGCGCATGAGAAAGCCAGCGCGGAGGCGCGACTGGTAGTTTATCGCAAGGGTACGGGGCGCAGTAAGGGCGGTAGGCGCCCTCTCAGGTTGCGCGGGAAAGGAATGGCCGCGTTCCTCGCCAGTCTTATTGGCCACGACTCAGGAGAATAATTTTCGGCGGCAAAGGTAGAGGCAAAGGTCGTGGACGCACCGCTGGGAAAGATAAAGGTCGCAAGCTGAACCCCAAGGGTAAACGCTGTCAATGGATGGCGCGCAACAGTTGCCGCAGAGATACGCGCATTCTGGCGCAGTGCTCGATGGGCAAGAGGGACTTGATCTGGATCCGTATTCTTCGGCTCAGACCAGCAAGAAGACGACGTACTTCAGTACGTCGGTTTCCTCGAATTTGACCACATCTCCCAAGTTTATTCTCGAACCGCGTGGTTTCTGATGGCTAGGCATGCCGAGGCTGCCGTGGCCGTCGAGGGGTACGCCGAGTACTTGCACGACGGCATCGAAGAGGTGCACGACGCGCCGCGCGAGAATTGGGCGGGAATCCTTCGGCGCAGATACGTGCGAGGAGAACCCGGCGACGACCCTATGTCCGAGGCGGAGACAACCCCTGTCACTGGAGAGGATTTGGGAATTCCAACTCCGACACAGGCAGGGCGGCCACGCCCATCAGCCCCCCCCATCGGTCATCGGCCTCGCCACGGAGGAGTTGGCGACGGTGGGTTGGGGCCAGTTTACCGCCGCGGCATTCGCGACGCTGGGCCGCTGCGGCCCCGTCGGAGCGGAGCGGGCCCCGTTGGAGCTGGCCCGGGCACGGGCAGCGGCCGCCGAGGTCGAAGTCCAGGAGCGGGCCCCGTGGGAGCTCACCCGGCCGCGGGCTGCGGTGGCCGAGGTCGGGGCCGCTCACGCGCCGCGGGTCCTTCCTCGGGCAAGGGCAAGGACTGCAGCTCTGGGAAGGGATGCGCGTCGTTGGGCGAGAATGGCCGCATCATCAAAACGTCCTATCGTTGGTCGACCACG